GCATCTCACCATAGCTTTTCCCTCGCCATGTCTAGCTCAAAATCGGGTAGTTCAAATTGTACGGGCCAATATGAATATGGAGAGTGGATTCCGGTGAAGTATTGTGAATGTGGGCAACAAATGAAGATGTTGACAACTTGGAAACCAGAGAACTGTGGGAGAAGGTTTTGGAAATGCATTGGAAGTCAGGTTATATATAGTTGTAATATATGAAATATTTAGAAATTCGATATTGGTTGACTGAATTGGAAAATATATATATTCTTACAGAGATTTCAAGGTTGTGGTTTGATGGAGTGGTTTGACCCTCCGATATGCAAAAGGTCTCAAAAAATAATCCCTGGATTATTGAAAAAATTGAATGCCTATGAAGAAAAAATCCATTCATTGGAATTGAAGGTTCAAACATTGGAGACAAACTCGTTCAAAGCGCAGAAGAAGAAGACAAAATGTAGTAACTGCATTACAGTGGTGTGCTTTATGTGTGTTGTGGTTATTATTTTTTCAGTGTACTTGAAAGGAAAATAATGTAGTTGTAGTGGTGATGAGGTGTGTGATGATGTACTTGTAAAAGCTTTGTAAAAGCTGTTGATTATCATGATTTGGTATGAAATGAAATGAAAGTTATATGATCATGAGTCACATATGACTTGAAAATGTGCTTAACACATATGTATGTTAACTGATGACCTGAAAATATTGGACCAAAAACCTGACTTAAAAAACATGCAATTATGACTAAGTTAACAACCATATAGTCACTTGACAAACTTAACAACCTGTTAATACATCACTACCATTGTTTGAAGTTACTTAACAACCTGTTAATACATTACATGAGATCATACACAACCAAAATGCTAATCCATGCATTACATGAGATCATCCAAAAACCTGATATCATAGACAACAAAAATGCTACTCCATACATTACATGATCACACTGAGGTTGCAGCTGATTACATGTAAACACATAATATTAATGCACACATTATACGCAATATACTATAATAATAAAATAAGCTTACAAAATATAGATCCACACTATACCAGCTTTTCCTTGTTGTTAGGATCATCCAGACATCTTCTAGCATTGTGACCAGCCTTTTTGCACTTTGAACAATGCAATTGAATATGTGTTCTTGCAACTCGGACACCATCTGTGCTCAGATCTACCGCAGATTTCCTCCTTAGCTTTCTTGGTCTTCAGCTCTAGCAACATCTCATTTGGGCTTGCCATTGGCTTTATGGACCCTCCATAGATATTCAAATAGGTGTCCTTGAAATAACATGGGTGGACATATGCATCAACAGGGCTTTTTCCAAATTTCAGCCATATAACACAGATTGCATGCTTGCAGGGGATCCTTGTTAAGTTCCACTGCCTGCAAGTGCATGTTCTCTTCTCCAAATCCACACCATGTTGGTTGCCATGGCTTCCCATTATCTCAAAATCATTGTTACCACACTGATAGCCAATCAAACTTGCAGCTAACTTCTCAGTGTCTTGGATTTTCTTGGCTATTCTAGGGCAAATATTTGAAGACCACTTCCTTGCATTGGTCCTGCTAGTGAACAACTTTGTTAGAAGTAGTTTCCTGATACTTTCAAGACACGCCAAAAGGGCTTGTTGTCTGGCCTCAAGTATGACACTGTTAAAGCACTCACAAATGTTGTTGGTCAACATGTCAGTTTTGGAGTGAGTTGAGAAGTGTGCTCTTGACCATTCTCTGAGGTGCTTGTCTGCCAGCCACTCAAACGCTTGCCCATCAATTTCTTTGAATTTGGATAGGGCAGCTTTATAAGAGTTAATAGTGCATGCCTTGCTACATTCCTAAATACAATCTTTTATGACTTTCCTAGTAAAACCTGTAGCCGTCATGTTGACATGTAGATGCCTCACACAAAATTTATGCTCAACACTGTGTGGCAATTCATTCACAGCTTGAATTAGCCCTTTCTGCTTGTCTGTCATCAAAGTGAAAACATGCTCATTTGCTTCTGTGATATCAGCATCCCTCTTCACAAGGTTCAAGAACCAAGCCCAGGATTCCCTACTTTCACCCTCATCAATAATAACATAAGCTAGTGGAAAGATGCTATTATTTGCATCAATTCCAATTGCAACTAAAAGCTGGCCCCCAGTAGCTATTTTCAGATGGGTCCCATCAACCCCAAGCACTAGTCTACACTGTTTAAATCCTTCCCTGCATGCTTCCCAACACATATATATCCTCAGAAATCTTTGTTGTCCATCCACTTCTACATTTTCACTCAATTTCACAACGCATGTGCTCCTAGGATTGGTCCTTCTTATTTCAGTCACATATGACAATATCTTCTTGAAGTAATCTTCTTCTTCACCTTTCAGTTTTCTCTTAGCCTTACTTATTGCTCCATAAGCTTGCTTGAGACTCAAATGGAAGCGTTCTTCAGTACATACTTTCTGTCTAAATTCTTTGGTTTTCTAATTTGAGTGACCCTCAATCTCCTTGAACCACCTATTTGCTACCTTGCTTGAGTTCACCATTTTGTTGTGATAGACCCAAGAGCAACCTTCATGCGTGTCATGGTACTGTAAAATCCTCCAAGAATGAGAATTCATTACCTTTCTAATTAAGATTCATCTTCCATGGGCAGCCTATATGTTTGCACTCCACAACAACCCGTTCCTTATCATTTTTGACAAACCTCACCTCTTTACCATTCTTAAATGCATGATTTTCCACAACTTCTTTGAATTCTTGTTTGGTGCTAAATGTCAATCCCAGTCTAAAGGTAGGATCTTTCATATCAGTCTTGGCACAAAATTTAGTCCATTTCTCAGACTCAGTGTCAGATTTTTTTTCCTATTGAATTTATATAAATTTATCCGATTGAATTCCTAAGTACATTTGTAAATATATTGGTACAACCTATTGATATATTAATCTGTTAACACACATATTTCAAAGCACCAACGTTGAATTTATTAATGCCTATAATGTATGTAGCCTTTGTATTTTTGTTCATTTTCTAGTAGGATTACACAAATCCGGCCTAGGTGTGAGCCCAAACTCACATCATATGCTCGAACTATGAGATCAAATTTATTTTGCATGCTCGAGCTCGGTTCAAGTTCAATCGAGCCTATATATTATAGCTCGAGTTCGACTCGAAAGCTTTTACTATACATCGCGAGCTGCTCGAGATCAACTCGACAACCTAGTCAGTGTCAGATTCATGTATGGAACCATCATCAGACAAGTTAGGATCCGGGTCCACAATTGAAGCTTAAATAACATTTTCTTCACCTTCACTACTCTTGTTTAACCCTCCATGAGTAGACAACACAGCATCCTCCTTAGAAATGAAGTCTTCCGAATCAGAGTCATCCTCATCACCAGAAAAGTGTTCTAAGTCATTCTCAGTGAAGTCACTACCTTCAGGGTCATCATCATCTTCAGTGTCACCACTGGGTTCTAATTCTATCCAAAACTCCACCACCTTACCAACATTTCCGTCATTCACAATCCTCCAAACCTCTACCTCATTATTTAGTTGCTTTAGGGACTCATTCTCATGTGAATAGGAATACACAGTCATTACCTTTTTGGTGCAACCAAGTTCTTGTAATTTCTCATTCAACTCAATCAAACCGAACTCATCGACCTCTACATCATGAAATTAATGGATTGACCCTCCCAAGTATGAAGGTTTATCCATGTGATTTACTTTTCCTCCATAAAACAACCTCAAAGTAAAAGTGTTTCTACAGTTGGCTGTACTTGTTTTATAAATGAGATCAATAATGTGTTTAAAAGGTTAACACAACACCATAAATGAATTTCATAATTACTAGTTCAAAAAAAAAGCATGTATGGGTCTAAGCTTGCGTAAAGATAAATGTGAACTGGTCCCATGTCTTAAATGGTTAAAGACAACCGGCCAGGGGAATCTAAGCCAAAAAAACACATGCCTACCCTACCATGTTTTGGAATAAAGGGAAAAAGGGAAAAGAGAAAAGGGAACCTCAACATAAAACCCCTAACATGTGCAAACACTGCAAACACCGTATATATAAACCTCAGTTCAGCCTTATATTCATTATTTTCTTCCACTCTTAAAAAAGTTCACCCTCTTACCTTTATCACCAGCATTTGTTGGAGAACGCCGTTCAGCACTTGTTCCTTCTCCTTCACGTCGGCGGTTCAGACGGGTCCTCATTGTTCGAACGGTTTTGGGGATTTCTCAAGCTGAAGGAAGCTTTCTTTAGAGGGAGAAGAGAGTTCAGTTTTGAGGTAGAGGGAGACGGCGGTATTAGCTCACCATTAAGTTAACTTAATTGAGTAGTTTATTAGGTAGCCGTTTTTGTAATTTAAATTTACTAAAATGCCCCCAATAAATGTTCGTTAATTGGTCTCCGGTTAAATTTAGCCGAAATTGTGGTCGGAAGGACCACGGGTGGTTATGTGGAAAAGGTCAAGGACTACATTTGGTTAAATTGAAACTCAAGGGATCAATGTGGAAGTAGCATAATAGTCATGAGACCAAAAATGGAATTTTTTCGTTATAAAAGTGCAAATCTCAAAGTTCATCTAACAGTGACTAATAATACTCCCTCCGGTCCCAAATGAAATTCACACTTTCCTTTTTGGGTAGGTCTAAAATAAACTTCACACTTCTTCTTCCATCCTTATTTGGGAAATTATCTACATCAAAACAGTGCAAAACAGTATCAAACAGTGTCACAACACTTTACTCTACTGTAAGGTCAAATTTATTTCCTTAATTCGTGTGAAGTCAAAGTGTGAATTTCATTTGGAGCCGGAGGGATTAGAAATGAACTCATAAACACGAAATGAACCATCATTAACACTAAAAATATAATTTCAAAATTGTTCCACAATGACATGAAGGTAGATAAATGAAAACTAAATTCAAAGTTAACAATTTAAGTGTTAAACTAAACCAATTAAGAACTTAGTCTCAAGTCCTAAACACATAAATAAATTTTAGATGCTGCTAGTAGCATTACTCTGCTTAAATTTAGTCCGATATTGCATTGCTTTTTGTTCTTCAGACGCTCCACCACCCGGGCCGCCGCCTGATCTTCCGTAGACAGAGGAATTGATAGGATTGCAAACAGCCTCAACCTCTTTAAGCTTTTCATCATAGTCCTCCTTTTCAGCAGTCTGGTTGTCATCTAACCACTCAAGGGCCTCCTTCACTGCAGTATCGATCTTCTCCTTCTCATCAGACTCAAGCTTATCTGCAAGCTTGTCCTTGTCACTGATTTGGTTCTTCGTGTTGTAAACGTACGTTTCCAGACTATTGCGGGCGTCAATCTTCTCCTTCATTTTCTTATCTTCCTCGGCGAACTCTTCCGCTTCACGAACTAGGCGGTCAATATCTTCCTGACTCAGCCGCCCCTTCTCATTGGTGATGGTTATCTTCTCTAATTTCCCAGTCCCCTTGTCTTCAGCTTTCACATTCAATATCCCATTTGCGTCTACCTCAAATGTCACTTCAATTTGTGGGGTTCCCCTGTTCAATGATTCAGTCGGTCAAGCATGATAGGGGTGTTTGGTATTGATTCTTTCATTCTTCTTTTTTAAAAGCAGAACCAGAATCGGTTTGCTAGCTTCTGCTCTCCCCAGCCTCTAAAAAACTGTTTCTAGGATCATTTTGGAGCATCTAGATTTACTTCTGGTTTTAGGTTGCTTTTATTTTGCTAACTAATGGAATGCAGGTTTTATCACACCCCTCATTAAAAATAAAATTTGAGATAATATTTATATTAATAAAATTTGGGGGAGAGATGAGCAGATACCAAACCTTGAAGCTGGTGGAATTCCAGTAAGATCAAACTTTCCAAGATGTCTGTTGTCCTTGGTAAGACTCCTCTCACCTTCAAAAATCTGTCAAATATATATTGCAGAAAACACATTTGGTATCAAGAAACATGGCAAGATAAAAAAACATGTCTGCTAGTTGTGTTTATTACTTAATGGCAACTAAATAAGTACCTGAATGGAGACGATGGTCTGTTGATCCTGGTAAGTAGTGAAAACTTGGGACTTCTTGGTTGGAATCCCAGTGTTTCTAGGAATCAGTTTGGTCATCACTCCACCCACAGTTTCAATACCAAGGGTAAGTGGGGTGACATCAATTAGAAGAACATTTTTAGTTTCATCACCACCTTCTCCGCTTAGAATTCCACCTTGTACAGCAGCACCATATGCAACTGCTTCGTCTGGGTTCACACCCTTGTTAGGCTCCTTGCCGTTGAAGTATTCCTTGAGAAGCTGTTGAACCTTTGGGATTCGGGTGCTTCCACCAACAAGTACAATCTCGTGAATTTGGTTCTTCTCCAATCTGTCTGGCATCTTCCATAGCCTTCTTCACAGGTCCCATTGTCCTCCTAAAGAGGTCATTGTTCAGCTCCTCAAAGCGAGCACGGGTCAATGGCTCGGAGAAATCAGTCCCGTCGAAGAGAGATTCAATCTCAACTCGGACCTGGTGTTGACTGCTCAATGCCCTCTTGGCACGTTCACACTCTCTTCTGAGCTTTCCCAAAGCTCTGTAATCCTTGCTTATGTCTTTTCCATGCTTCTTCTTTATCAGCTTGATGAAGTATTCCATGACCCTCTGATCAAAATCCTCACCTGCAAATGGATATATAAATAAGTTTCTCAGCATACAAACACACACGCTTTATGTCTAGGATGCTGCTATTTTCAAAATTAGTGGATAGAGCCTCAAGCCCTCAACGATTGGTTCCAGAAGGCCACTAATTTATACTACGTACAAGACAATGAGAAATAACCTCACCTCCCAGATGGGTGTCACCATTAGTGGATAGAACCTCAAACACGCCGTTATCAATGGTCAAGATACTGACATCAAATGTCCCACCACCAAGGTCAAAAACAAGGATGTTCTTCTCCTCGTCTTGCTTGTCCAGTCCATAAGCAATAGCTGCAGCAGTTGGTTCATTGATAATTCTTGCAACATCAAGTCCGGCAATAATACCTGCATCTCTGGTAGCCTCCCTTTGAGCATTGTTGAAGTATGCTGCAAGAAATCAATCAGGTTAAAGTATGCATGATATCAATTAGCACGTTAAAATGTGGCGGGCATGTGTGATACAACAGATCAAACTATGTTTCGATGAATAACCACATACCAGGAACTGTAACTACCGCATCTTTAATCTCCTTTCCAAGGAATGCTTCAGCTGTCTCCTTCATCTTTGTTAGAACCATTGCGCTGATCTCCTCGGGGCTGAAGACTTTAACTTCCGCATCCCTGATTTTGACTTGTACATAAGGTTTCCCATCCTTGTTCACAATCTTGTATGGAACCAGCTTCACATCCTTCTGAACCTCCTGATCCTCAAACCTGTCAACAAGGAAACTATTAGCGCAATTTCATATGATATAAACCAAGCAGATGTGCTTAGAAAACTGTGCATTACCTTCTTCCAATGAGTCTCTTAACATCAAATATGGTTCTCTCGGCGTTTACTACTGCCTGGTTCTTTGCAGCCTCACCAATCAGTCTTTCCTTGTCAGTGAATGCAACCCAAGACGGTGTAATACGATTTCCTTGATCATTTGCTATGATTTCAACATGCCCATTCTTGTAAACACCAACACAAGAATAAGTTGTCCCAAGATCAATTCCAATAACAGTGCCTAATTTAGTTTCTTCCTCCTTTGCAATAGAGATTGCAGACAGACATCCTATTGAATAACATGGCCCAGTCAGCAATTCAATACTAACTCATTGAACTATTTGACAGTATGTGTTATCCAAGTATGAAGGCATGCATATATTGCAGCTTCTTGATATAGTACAAGACATGAGCATTAGTAGCAGCAACTCTAGCAATCTCTGGCAGCCTATGTTGCACGGATACGGATACGCCGATACGCCGATACGTGAATACGGGTACGGTGATACGGCAATTTCAAAAATTATAGGATACGGGTACGGAGGTATATTTATAAATAATAATAATATAGGGTATAATTTGCAAATATATATAATTCAAAGGTTCATAAGCAAAATAATAATAGTACCAAAAATCAACAAGACTAGTTTCAATTAAAGCTCATGAAGCGACAAAATGACAAATTATAGTATTCCAATATTTTGCATACTCCCGAAATCATCTTTATCAATATTCCACATCTTGTGGTTGTTTAGACGGCTACTAAATTTTCGTTATGTCACGTATGAAATGAGGGTTATGCGATTAGATACGTGTATCGGTTCACGGATGCGGATATCAGAAGCATCTGTATATTTAAAAATAATCTCAATACTTTTATTAAATTACATATACGAACCCAATACATACATGACGTGTATAAGTGAGTATCGGTATCGGAAACGTATCGGGTACGCGGATACGGCATTAAGAAGAAGTATCGGTGCACCATAGCTGTCAGCTATGATATACCTTGAGCAGACACAAACGCCTGCTTAAAGCATTCGACGCATGTTTAATTTCAAATTTTAACAGTAAAGAATATTATATAGGGTGCGTTTTGTATATATTACTCTTGGGGATCATATTGACCATAAACAATCAGTTCATTTTTCAATGACAATATTTATAGACATCTCCTCCAAAGTTATTTTTGCCTTCATATTGACATCACAAGCACATAGATTCCAGCAACAGAGTTTGAAACAGAAGCTATTATGCATGCATGCATACATATATATATATACATATATATATATATATATATATATATATATATATATATATATATATATATATATATATATATATATATATATATATGGAGTATTAGATAATGTAAGCTACATGCAGGGAAGAAATTAATAATCATCATAATAATAGCAATAATAATAATAATCATATAGAGTATTATTTCCTTATATAGGAGTATATATTACATCCCCCCCCCCCCCCCCCAAGAATCCCAAGATTGTCATAAAGGAGTCCTCTCATAAACTCGTGATAAAAGACATTAATTGAGAACACAATTAATTGCACTTATATATATATATATATGATACCACTTAGCTTTAATTTTGAGACTTTCTTGATATGAAGACCTTAATGTACGTGAATTAAGCAATACACATATAAAACTAGAATTACCTAGGACTTTAGATAGAATTAATAATTGTAAATAATAAGTGTTCCTTTAAACAATTAATTGTGTACATAATCCAATTATTGAATTGCTCGGCGTCTAAACTAGTTACAGACATAGAATAAGTCCAGTCCACATATAGTTTTCCCGAAAGATTTCATTGATGAATTAATTAAGAAATTCCTAGCATTATTTTTGTGACAAAAATAACATAATATCCCATGAAAACAATCGTCTATTTAGACAAACAAATTAGATTAAATACTTCGTACTACGTATAATGCATGCGAGAGCTAGCTAGAAACACTGCACAAGTTTGTGTGTTATACACCCTTATACTACGTATATATACATAATATATTATATATACACACATATAGGTTTTGAATCAAATAAAAATCACCATTATCGTAAAAAAGTGCAAACTTTTTTTCAATGTGAGCACTTTAAAGGTGGTCTGTTGCAATTTTTAAAGTTTGATCGAACTATGCCAAATAAAAAATGCAATTGCATTTTGGTAAATAAGTCAAAGTTTTCTATCAAAAGTGCAACATAACACCCTAAAATACATTACAGTTTTCACGTGAAATTAGTTTTTATTTGACCCGCACTTATGTACATATACTATAAATTAAAAAAACTGAAGCTATTAATTGATTTACCGATAAAAATGAAGATGAAGATGAGTGCTAGGAGGAGGAGTGAACCCCTTTGCCTCCAATAGCCACCTCTGGCCATGATTTTAGTTATACCTACATTATATTACATTTATGCACATACATGAGAATCATTATTATCTCTATAAAAACAAAACTATAAATTTATTAAGTTCAAATAAACAAACACATATACAATTAAAATAAGCTCCAAATTAATCAAATATAATAAACGAACTGATTGAATTAATCAAATATACGTATGCTTATGAAAAGTTAAAATAAACGTGTCATTTTTAAAATGAGAACCTTTATGTCGGAACAAATTAATCAAATAAACGAACCGATTGAATTAATCAGATAAACGAACTTATTGGCAGTTTGAGAGCCCGTTTGGCAGCACAAAAATCGGCTGTTCTGGCTGATTCTGCTGAAATTTATGAAGTTCTGGCTGAAGTGGCTGCATTGGCTGATTCTGCTGATACAAGAAAAAAAATATTTTTAAAATATATTTTATTAATAAAATAAAGAAAAAAATATATGTAAAAATAGCTAAAATGGTCATCTACGGTAACTTCAGCCAATACAGCCAGAAAAGTAACTCCAACCTTACTTTTTCGGCTTATTACACAATTCAGCGCGCGAAAGCAAAATTTACGTGTTTGATAAAAAATTGACTAATAAGCCTGATAAGCCGAAAATGAAGGTTGCCAAACGGTCTATGAATTGTACGATGAAGGTTGGATTTCTCGCGCGACGTACCTATTGAGAGAAGCCTGTGTATATATAGAAGAGGAAAAGTTTTCCGGTATTTCGAGGACGTGAATATGGGGTGTGGTGTTCCAGCTAATTAGGATGCGCCACGTGGAGGTACTTCATTGGTTGAAAACTATCATCGGACTAGTACTCCATTGAGAACATGCATACTATATACTACGTACTACGTATGTAACTAATTTGGCATATTTCGAAAACCTCTAGGAAATTAAAACGGAAATTTCACATATTTCAAAACATCTAGCAGTGTTTATAATTAAATTAAAAGGATTATTGATAAAACTAATATTATTATAAATTTTTCAAAATACAAAAGTAGAATTTGTTTTAAATGGATTATTTAATTATGCTTTTATGTATGATCAAAAAAAAAATTATGCTTTTATGTTATCCTTCAACCCTAAATCTAGTTTACAATAGTTTTAGACTATTAGTATTGGTCGTTCACACAAATATAAGAAATGGACACAATAATCATTTATACCTCTTTTATTTCCACCATGCCTGCATCATTTATCTCGATCACCGATTATCAGAACATAAAACCTGGATCGTCAACTATCACACCTTTGTGAATAATTGGAACAGGTTACCCTGAATAGGGTCCTGACAGATCTTTATATAATAAAACGGGTTTCCAAAATCCAACACAATTCCTATTTAATATAAACTATTACACCCCCTCAAACTGTGCATGAGATATAACGCGCATGTTGTCTTTTAAAAAATGAAACTGTTGACTAGACAAACTCTTAGTAAAAATATCAACTAACTGAAGATGAGTAGGAACTTATCTAACGATTAAATCTGTAACACCCCGGCCCCGCAGGACCCGAGGTAGTTACTTCTGACCTCTAGTACTGTCCTCACAAACCACCACGAGCCTTTACCGCACACTTTGTTCTCACTCGTGCGCGCCCTGAAAAAACTTCCCAGGGGATCACCCATCGCAAGACTACTCTCGTGCAAGCACGCTTAACCTTGAAGTTCTTGGTGATGAGCTCCCTTAAAAGAAGATGCACCTCTGTTGGTATGAGTGGTACTATTAATCCTCTTAAATTAATCTCGGATATTACAAAATCTCCATGAGCAACTCTCTCACGAACAAAATGATCTATATATAATAAAATAGGTTTCCAAAATACAACAGAATTCCTATTCAATATAAACTATTAACCTCGTTAAAACAAACCAATTACTACTTAATATCATAAGAACTAATCGGAGAGAAGAATAGCTCACGCGTTACTCACTGCGAATTGAATGAAAGTTTTGTACCATGCATATTAGGAGCGCTTTGTATATGCATGTCTTGTGAGAGAAAAAATGTACAAGAGTATCACTTTTTTTTTTAAAGTGTCGCTATTTAAGTGCCTCAAAAGATTGTTTTCCCATTAGTGAATTGTAGTGAGTATTGGGTTTTTGAGTATGATGTATAATGGTCTTGATATCTGTTATATCAATATAAGCGTTTTCGAGTAGAAAAAAAAAATAGGACTTGTTTTTATTTTGGATAAGAAAAGAGACAAAATGATACTAAAATGGCTAATACACTCCTGAAATAAAAACCTAATCCTCTACTACCTCCCACTCATCTACTCTCACCTCTATCACTAGAATTATCCTCGCATTCAGTTGCAATATCCGCTTCCCCTATCATTGTTGATAGGCACGCCTCTGCCGCTATCCACGTCGATAGCCACACCGCCACCACCCTTTCGTCCAACACCATTCTTATTCTTCCCCTTCTATTCGTTAACTGTTTTGTTGTCTTCATATTTGCATTTCTTGTCTTTTTGTTAGAGTTAGATCTCTTGTCCTCAACCAGGTGACTCCCATATATGTTGAACCAAACACATTTTTTATATTTGTTTTAAAGCACATTTAAAATCGTTTTAAGAGAGTGGATGTTTGTCAATTATACTCGTCACGACAAGTATTGATACCTATATCTATATTGTGGAGTGTAAATTGACCAAGAACATGAAAAAGTTCATTGTGTTGTTCCATAACCGGCCTTGAGTCAACCGTTTTATAATTATCTAAAGTCATTCACCAATTAAGAAATTTTTGCTAGAAGCATCTTCCCCAATGTATTTTGACTCAGGAGAACTCCACGCTTCCTTCGCACTCTCCACGTTTTGATAAATATTTGGCCTCTACATATGTAGTCATCATT